AAATACCCAACTAATGGGACCAAAAGGACACAAATTCAAGGCTAACTTAGATATATGCATATATTTCATCAAGTTCAAAGCTTTTTACCTCAAGATGATGACAAATGATGATGAGATTCTAGATCCAAAGAGTCATACTCCTCCAAGATGATCTTCTCTTCTTCCTCTCTCCTTCAAGTGACCAAAACACACACTCAAAGCTGAATATTGCTCAAAATTGGATTAGGGTTTGTTTAGGGACGAAGGTAAGTTGGAGGCTGATGCGAGGAAGGTGAGTTGGGGGACTTAAGGATGTTTAAATAGCGTCCAAACCCTAAAAGTTAGGGTTTGTGGCTCACCTACGTACGCCCAGCATACGTGAGTCCGCCCTAATTATTACAAAAATGCCACTATGGGCCATTTTGAAAACTTTCTCATGCACAAGGGCCAAAATGCAATATTTCTTCATACTAGGGTTAAAGTTGAAAATACTTCATCATCAGGATGTTACAATTTATTTATTTTTTCCTATTTATCTCACTTTTAATAGAGATTGTATTTTCATATTTGTTTGTATAAATTTCTGAACATTATTTTTAAAGCATCCATAATTATTGATCATTCATCTTATTTATAAATTTTTCATTTGCAAATCAATTTTCTACTAATTTGTGTTTAGCAAAAACTTACTATCATAAATATTAATTAATCATTGATTAATTCTAGAAGTTTCTTTTTAATTAATAAATATATTTTTTATTTTTGTGAAATATTTTATATGGCTTCTTATATTTTTTTTTCTTTTGTTTTTAAGCATATAAACTATTTTTAAATAACTAGTATCTAACCATAAAATTAAATATGTAATAATAAGTATGCGGGTCTTTTAAAAAATTAAAAGAAAATATTACGTAGAAAATATAAAATAATAAAAGTTTCTTAGGTATGTGTAACTACAAATTTTTTAGACTTTTCTACATTTTGTTACGGTATTTTTGAGATTTTTCTCTTAGTTTAATTTACAAAATTGTTTTTCTATAAATTTTTTTAATACAATTGCTTTAAAATAAAAGTATTTTGTAAATTTTTTAAAACTCTGATGACTTTTTTATACTTTTTAATTAGAAGTTTATAAACTCTTTAATTTTTTTTTCTTTTTTATACAACGTTTTATACGTGTCTTTAACGAACGTGCTTTAAAAATTTATAAAAATATAAAATAAAGTTATAAATTTTTTTTTAATGTTTTAAAAATGTTGTAAAGAAAGATTAGTAATGGTTGTATGAAAGTTATAAAAAAATTGTAATATATATATATATATATATATATATATATATATATATATATATATATATATATATATATACCGTTTTAAACGTGTCTTTAACAAAAGTAAAAAAAAAAAGTTATACAAAATTTATGAAATGTTTGTAAAATATTGAAAAAAAATATTAGAAATGGTTGTATGAAAGTTAAAAAAACGATATAAGAAAATGTAAAAAATAAAAATAAAAATAAAAAACTTGTAAGAAAAGTTTAAAACATTTAGAAAATACTTTGTTTAAAAACAGTTATATGAAAAATAAAAATATTTATACACGATGTTTAAAACGTCATATTAGAAAAACATATAAACAAATAAGAAAAAATATATATTAAAAATATTGTAATAAATTATAAAAAAAAGTCTTAAGAAATTTGTTGAAAAATATATTTGTTCATATTTAGACTATTTTTTTTTTAATATTATTTAACCATAAAATTTGGTAAATATGTTCACATATTATCATTGTCACCTAGATATTATGTAAGAATGATAACATGTAAACACATTTAACAAGTTTGATGGTCAAATATGTACAATTTTATTTTACCTAAATTTGAATTAAACGAAAACATAATTATTTTGATAAATCAATTTTCCTTTATTCAATGCCAAATATATATATATATATATATATATATATATATATATATATATATATATATATATATATATATATATATATAACTATGATCAAGCGGGGACCTAGGAAAATAACGAATTTCAATAATAAACTTCCTAGAAACAAAGCAATAACTGAGCAAAATAAAGGCCTCTATAAGATGCAGTTAGGATTTGGGGGAACCAAAGGGCTTCTAGCCCAACAGTATGAGGTGTTGCCCTCCCTCCTTGAGGTCAAGGGTTCAAATCCCGTGAAGGACATAGGTGGATTTAGGAGTAGTGTAGGAGTAGAATAGATTTGCCGTTCCAAAAAAAAAGGATTTGGAGGGAAGAGAGTCGTTACCAAAATTGATCCTTACATGCAAAAATAATTAATCCAAATCCTCCATAAGATGAACTCTATATGATATATCCTTATCAACATATATATGCATGCAAACAAATCAAAATCACAGCAACATATAAATAGAAATTTAAAATTAATCAAAGTTCAAATGAATAGACTAAAATAAGATGCGTAATAGTAAAGCTTCAGTTCAGTTGATCGAGATCAACAGATATAACTTATACCTTAAATTTCTAGAGGAAAAAACATTCGGAAAATTTATATCACAATTTCACAAACTTACTCATCGTCGATTATGATCCTTACAGTCGGGAGTCTGAATGAATTAAGGGCATCACAATAAAAAAAGTTATAAAAAAAAGGGTGAGATTCATATAAATTTTGGTGAATTAACAAATCATGCTTTCGTTTCAACAAGGAGGCTTTATAGATGGAGGTTATCACATGGTGTGATTCCAATTTGTCGTCGCTTCGCGTTTTCTCGATTAAGTTAGGTTTTATGTGGGTACATATGGAACAAGGGAAAATGATTTATTAAGGTAACTAACTATTTTGGTTGTCCATATATAGGTAATGTTCTTTTTTTGTACACATTAATGAAACTAACTTGTTTTGTTTGTTCACATTTAGGTAATATGACCGACTATCACCTGTTTTTGCTCATGTGGCATCCACCTGCCATATGACTTGAATACGTTGCACCTACGTGGCATGGTGCATATATTGTCGTCATTCGATTACACTATAAGAACTGTGTCATACGATTACACCCCTAATTCTAAACCCTAGATCGATCGACGATGGCTTCTTCTTCCTCATCTTATTCTTCAAAACGACAAGATGAATTTCAAGCCGATCATCCATGTGATTGTGGCTTACCATCTCATGTGAAGATTTCAAGAACTCCTGACAACCCTGGAAGAAAATTTAGAGTTTGTCAAAACTCGATGGTAAATCAATATTGTTGAATATGTTGCAACTTTCTTCTTCTTCATCCTTCAATTTAACATTTTTTTTATTTTTGTTCAAGAATGGAAAAAGTCCAAGCTGTAAATTCTGGCAATGGCTGGATGAGGATAAAGGGAGGACAGATGGAAGAAGTTCTTACAGGAGGAAACCAGAAGAAAGCTGCAATCTAACCTTAAAAATTTGCACTTTGGAGAATGAAATCAGCATATGTAGGATGAAGATCGAACAAGAAAACAACACCAATTTGGTTAATAGACAAGAATTGGACAAAGTGAAGTGGAAGTTGTTTACTCACAAAGTGGCACTGATTTTGTTATTTGTATTGTATGTGAAAATGTTGATTTGATGTATTAGGGTTGAATGATGTTGTTCATGATGTATAATGGTTGGATGATGTAGTTCATGAATGAAACTTGATTGGTATTAGAATGATGTAGTCCACTTGTTCTTGTGTATGCTTATGTATGTAATTAAAGCAACAAACTTGTGTTACATGTTTTTGCTTCTGATGTAATGAATGGAACTTTTGTATTAGAATGAAATATAATTAAACACTGGAATGGTATATAATTAAACACTGGAATGGTATATAATTAAACACTGGAATGGTATATAATGAAACATGGGAATGTAATATAATCAAACATGGGAATGTAATATAATCAAACATTGGAATGTAATTAAAGCAAACATTGGATTCCCACGAAACATTGTTTACAAAAGATGTGCCATAAGTTAGTTCTAACATAGTTACACATGCAATACTGCCAAAAGGTACACACAAGATTCCAAAACACATATGACTAGACAAAAGTCCAAAAGCTACACATATATCTAGACAAAAGATTCCCAGTCAATGATGCCAAATTCTATTCCAATTCCTTTGGATTTTCACAACTACTCCCCTGTTTCCCTTCCCACTTCTTTCTTATCTGAATTTTCTTGATTCTTTCTGAAGGTTTCCTTCTTCTCTTTCCCTGTAGAATTTGAAATGCTGGTACTTCTTGCATATGCTCCTCTTCCACTGGATCTTGAACTGCATCTTGTCCTTGGTCATCCTGTCCAACTGGATCTTGAAGTGCAGCAAGTTTTTCACCTTTTTGACCTTCACCCTGTCCTTGAACTTCAACTATAGCCTGGTCTTCACCATCTTGAACTTCAACTTCAACCAGTGCTTCAACTTCAACCTATTCTTCAATCCCTCCAACGACACCTTCACCCTGTCCTTGAGCTTCAGCTTCAACCTCGGGTTGGTCTACATCTTTATATCTATGACTATCCTCTTCAAAATCAACTTCATAAGACGCCACCTCACTATCAGGCTCCATTTGAGAAGTAAGTGGTTCCATCAGGCATCACATCCACATCCATCTTCACTGTTGATCCAGGTTTAGTCCTTCTTAGCTCCTCTCCATAGCTCCAAGTTTTAGCATAGTGTTCCTTTAAGGTACCCTCTATCTCCTTAAATGCATACCTCCTAGCATTTCTGCACTGTCCCACACTTGCAATCAAATTAAACTTGTTGCTAACTTTAGCCTTTAATTTCCTCACACTCATCTTTGGTTTCTGGAGTATCTCATTCATGAAATGATTCCCTATCCATTTATAGCTAACAATGGACCCAAATTTGAAGACTCTTGAGCAATTATGGTTATCAATTAAAGATTTAATCTGGAATGACCTTTCATTGGTCATCCAGGTTGCCCACAACCTAAAAGGACAACCTTTATTCTTCTTATTCTTCTTACCTTTGCAACATTTCACCAGTAACCTGTTATGATCACTTTTTTCATACCATAAATCATACCCACTGCATAATTGGTTACACATAGCTTCAATTGCATTGGGTTAGCAAACTTCATACCTATAACTGGCACCATCTTATCCCATTCTTGTTTCTCATCATGGACAGGGAATATAACCTTATCATCTATCCCATCATTAGGTTCATCATCATCACTAAGGTTACCAATACCTGAAAGTTTGTTTAAAAAATCGTTACCAACAGTTTTGTTAAAGGTATGGACTTCTTCATCAACTTCATGTTCATATGCCATAATATCATCCAAGTTATCATATTCCTCATTTTCATCCTCTTCTTCCTTATCGCCCTCTTCTTCCTTGTCATCCAAATCATACCCGTTACCATCTGATAACACCTCATTGTCAGCCCAATCAAGGATTGGTTCTTTTTGGTGGTCAATGTAGACATCCAACTCAGCTTCAGGAGTATAAGTAGCTTCAACAAACTCCCAATAATCAACATCACTGTCGATTCTTATAATACCCTCAGCTAAGGTTTCCTTTCTACTACAGTAATACACATCATTACAACTTCCTTTGGTTAAATCCCTAAGCCACAAAAGAAACTCTTTATACGTAAATCCTCCAAAATCAACATCACGCACTATTATTGTTTTGGGGTCTAAGTATTTCAATGGATTTCGGGAAAATAGTCCTCTGTAATGAACATCTACGGTTAGATACTTACCTGTAGATGATGGGGACGCCATCTTACAGTCGACTTCAACACATAGCTTCAACTCCAAACTCTAATCTTCAATTTGATGAATCGATACTAATCAGGAGGTGATTTCGGACAAATTAAACTTGTTGAACCCTAATTAAATGAGAAACGGGTGTAATGTCCACGTATTTCACTTTAACTGAGGTTAATCGATGCTACCGGGTAAAGCAGGTGAAAACAGGTGATAGCCGGTCATATTACCTAAATGTGAACAAATAAAACAAGTTAGTTTCATTAATGTGTACAAAAAAAGAACATTGCCTATATATGGACAACCGAAATAGTTAGCTACCTTAATAAGTCATTTTCCCTATGTAACAATCATATTTCTATTTATTGTTTTACTATATTTTAACAAGTTTTCTTATGAAGTTTTTTGAGTCACTAACAAGTTTTCTATTTATTGTTTTACTATAAATATAAATATATCTTTGCAAAATTAGTATTATCGGGTGACTTGTAGTTGTAACCCTTAATGTGTGACCCATTGAAATGTTGATCCAATTTTTCATAAAAATGTTAATTTGAAAGAAGTTTTTATATTTTAACGATATATACAAGAAAAAGGAAAAACTACAATAAAGTCCTAACATATTGGCATCATAATCGATTTAGTCATTATATCTTTTTTTATTCAATTAAGTCCCAAAAACCGGTAATCGTATTTAATTTAACCCTTTTATCCGATCAACAGGCATCCAACTTTCAAAAATTATATTTTTGGCCCAGATTTAATTTTTTTTTACAAATTTGGTCAAATTTTCTACTTTGGTCCAGATTTTAAATTTTATTACAAATTTGGTCCAAAATTTACCCGTTTGGCCGAAATTATAGGATTTTGTTATGAATTCATCCTAACTTTAGTGTTTTTTTACATCTTTTTTCTCAAAATTTTGTTTAGAATATGTTTTTTCTTTATAAAATCACATTTATACAAAAAAACATAATTCACATAAAAAAATCTTATATTTTCTATATAAATACTTTTTTGTATACGAAATACCTATTTATAAAATTAGGTATTTATTAAGTACATAAATATATACAAATCTTGTAAAGGAAAAACATATTTATAAAAACAAATTTGTATATATTTATGTATTTAATAAATACCTATTTTTATTAATCGATATTTCATATACAAAAAGTTTTTAAAAAAAAAATTATATAGAAAATATAAGATTTTTTATGTTAAAATATGTTTTTTTTGTATAATAAAGAAAATACATATTTGAAACAAATTTTTTAGGAAAAAAGTTGTAAAAAAATAATAAAAAATAAAAATAAAAATAAAAAAACTAAAGTTAGGAAGAATTTTTAACAAAAGTCTAAAATTTAGGTCAAAATGGTAAATTTTGGACCAAATTTGTAATAAAATTTAAAATCTGGGCCAAAGTGTAAAGTTTGGACCAAATTTGTAATAAATTTTGAAATTTGGGCTAAAAATATAATTTTTGAAAGTTGGATGACCTGCCGACCGGGTAAAATGGTTAAATTGAATATGATTATCGGTTTTTAAAACTTAATTGAATAAAAAAATGATATAATGACTAAATCGATTATAAGATCAAACTTTATTGTCTAAAAAAATGTATTTACCTCTCATGCAAAACTTTTTTTTTTCGGCATTAGCGGGTATCCAAAATGAATAGTTTGGTCATAACATTGGGTCTTCACAAACAGTTGGCAGCAAAGACAATTCGGAGCCTAGTTTATAATGGACCAAATGTCCACAAGTCCACAAGAGATAAACAATTGGATGATCGGATACCAATATTACACATACAACTAAATCATAGGGCTTATCTACAGTATCCGGTTTGTAGCTGCTTACTTGGTGGTTTTGTCACTGCTAATCCACTTCCATTTTTCCGCGGTTTTGTATATGGCTTCGTACTAAGCTGATGCACTGTTTCTCCACCGTTTTCTCCACCGCTTCCACCGCCTTACCACGTGGTTTCCACCGACTTATCTTCTAGCTGCTATTCTATATTTTTCTTCTAGCTGCTTCCACCTTCTCCACCTAATCGTCGCAGGAAGAAACAAGGCAGCATCATCTTCCAAGAAAAAGCCCTACCAGCCCGGCGAACCATGGAATCTGAAGATGGACCACCACCTTTTTTACGAATGAAGCAGCCACGCACAAGCGCATACCCCCACCGCCAGCGCTCCACCGATTTGCCTCACCGTCACAGTCGCCTTTGGTCAGCTCCGCCACTTCAGTCGCCGAAATCATTATCTCCTTACCCACCTTCATGTTAAACAAGTGTCGTCTTTTCCACGGGTCTTCATTTGATTTTGATTTTCTTCCCTAAGGTAATCAACATGGGTCTTCATTTTGATTTGATTTTCGTTTATTTCATCATGAACTTTTTTGACTTTTCTATCAGCAAACCTTATTGTTGAATGTTATTGTTTTCGGAAACCTGGAACCCCAAACACATAGCCATATCGCCTTTGGTCAGCTCGACTGGTATTGTTGAATTCAGTTTCATTTTCATCTTCAAGATTCCAAATTCTCTCCTCATTTCCGACGGTCAAAAAGTTAGTAAAATGATCTTGTATGCTCGCTGATTTGAATTCGAACTCTCAGTTGGGGCTTTAAGTCAAAATCGAATTTCTAATTTCTAATTCTGTTTTCTGCAAATTCGAACTAAAAGTGTTTTTTGCGAATTCGATTTCTAATTATCTCCTTTTTTTCATACAGTTGGTTCTCATTGTTTCTGTTGAGATCACCAAAGGACCAAATATCCTTTTCCACCCAGGCAGACAGGACAAAGATGATGCTCACATGTCTTTTAATGAGGTTATCTACCATGGGATTCCAAATGGAAGGTATCTATCTACCTTATGAGAAGTTGGCTTCTAAGCTTTGTGGTGTTGTATAAACTTTAGCTCACATATATCTAAGCTTTCTTATATTACCCGCCAATTGCCCGATGAAATTTTTCAAAAAGAGATGCTAACCCGTTTCCAATTGTCTTACATCTCTGCAATTACTTCCATTTTGAACATTGTATTTAAAACTTGTGGGAATTATCAAGTGCAAACAGCAAAAAAAAATGCAATTTCAATATGTGCTTTGTTCTACCTTTAGAGATGATTATTATCTCATGTTTACCAAAGCATAACAAATTCAGATTCTTTTCAATCCTATATCACTTGACTTATTTGTATCGGAAATTTTTTTAAAAAGGGTAAACCAGAAAGAAAAATTGTTTTTGACAGCAGGTTTATGCTCTAGTGAAATCAAATTTAATTTGATTTACAGAAAATGATAATAGAAGGTATTAATTGTAGAGTTGATTTTGATTAGTGTAGAAAAGATGTTGGAAAAAAAAGTCATGTAGACTATCATAACAGGAAGATTCAAGAACACAAAATGAAAGAGGTTTTAGACTTTTACACCCATTTTCTATATTTTTCATAAAAAAAACAATAAAATCAAATTTGTATAAGTTATAGTAACATTAGTCTAAAGAAGACCCGACCTTCAACTTATGTATGAACATGTGTACTTAAATAAAATATTTATCTAATATAAAAATACAACAAATATTAAATTTTTTGAGTTTATTCCCAATTTCAAATATTTGCAGTTAAAGCTAATGACATGCCAACACACATATTGTGAACTGTATTATTGTATGATTTGTATCTATTGGTTTTGGCAACGTCTACTTAAAAATCATTATTCTATTTTTTAATATGTATTAAATTCATTTAAGCTATGTTCACTATTAGTTTGAACTAATGAATGGACTCATTAAAGATTTGGACAGTAATCAAAATGATAAGATCAATAATTGTTAATGTTTTTACATGTTTTCATATTTTCATTATGAATGAGGATGATTTTGGGAAACAAGAGAATTATGTTGCACGTTTCACTTAGATGTAAAGCCACGGTAAGTTTATTTATGGTCAGAAGCAACATCAGCAACACCTTCAAGACGGTCCCCACACTCCAATAAAATTAAAAATTGCATAAAGTAGATACAAATAACCGATGGCCTTGCTACCAACCTGTTCACATTTGTCCAAACTTAACCAGTCCATTCCAGTGGCTTGTGGTGAGGACGCAGGTAAACGGATATGAGTTGGTGCCATACACATAACTCAACTCTCAGTAGTAGGTTTGACCATGGCTAGAGAAATCAGAACACGTGAAATTCACGATTTGCTCGATTTGGATTTGGATTTGGCTTACAAAAGTGTCTGAAAGAGAAGTTCTCAATTAGAAATCATCGTTGTTGTTTCACTAAGGTCAACATAATAACAACAATCTTTTGTATTACTATTTTTTTGTACACATTTACTTTCCATATTTTTAGAAAAGTTTTGTATCTACCATTAGGTAAAAAATGTTTTGACTTTACTGTCACATCTAATCAAGATCGTTGTTTATAATACAATAATAATAAATTATTTAGAAAACATATTACTTGAAAATCAACTACATACAATGTTAAACCATTTGTAGAAAGAATGAATTGTTACCTAACCCATGTTCACAATCCACAAAAAAAAATATTTAGTTTAATCAAACTTAGAGATTGATATGTTCATGTTATCGAGACGTCAAATATAATCTTAAAGCTTCCTATTTTGCCCCATAAACACTAAAATTTGTTCCGTTTAATATCTCAATTAATCCATTTGCATTAATTTCTTTTTGCCTGATGCTTAAATTATGTTCAGGTCAACGAAGCTTTTCCTCATGGGGACAAATTCAAAAGTAAATGTTGTGCTTTGTGATGATGTTGAAACTGTAAGGAAAGGCTATGGCAAATCCTTTCCCCCTTTCCCAAAAGGTTTTGGATTTTATATTTCTAACATTTGATTTGGTGTGATAGGTCTCCTTTAAAACATAGTGTTTAATTGATGATTATTTTACACAAGGCTAACTGCAATAAATAGCATCATACTTTCATTTGTATTACAAGATTGTATTTTCCTTTTTTCGTTCACAAAGTGCAGATATATGTCCCTCCTACTTACCAAAAAACAACTCCAAATGTATGAAGAGATGCAGGAAACCATACAAGCTGAAGCATAAAAACGGAAGATAACTCATGTCTTCTTTTTCCAATAATCAGCTTTTGATGTAACAACAACGTTTTGCATGCATTCCAGTATTATGAATATTTATCTTCAAAAACACCTTAAATCCAAATGAAATACAATGACCCATGCAGAGCATGGGTAACTACACTAATTTGAATCAAGACCCAGGAAAACAAAAAGAGAACACCCATGAATCCATGATGATACTTTGTACATTTAAGATCCCTATCACATAATAATCAATCACATTAAATGCCAAGTCAAAAATCCATTATGTACAATTTAGAGATGTCACCCGTGCTTTAGTTTCCAGAAAATCACACTCAAAATCTTGTGCCACATCTCATGCTTAATTCAGGGCATCGATTGAGATCAGAACTCTTGTGAGGGTAGTCATGCCCTATTAGAGAACTCGACAACTCAAGAGGTATCGGGTTGCGGACAAGTTTTCAAATAAACGGTAATGATAACTTGTTTAACTGTAGGTTTGTGGGTGTGAATCAAAACATCGTAAATGATTTTTTTTCGCCAAACATTATTGTTACTTGACCTGTTTTAGGTGTTTTTAGGTCCAAGCGCGATTGCTTTGTCTAGTTTATGGGTTGTCGAGTGTTTTTTTGTAACTTTTTCCATGTAATGTTTAGGTTCGTTGTTTAGTGTCTTTTTTCGTTCACTAAATGAGTTAAAAATCCTATTTTTATTGCAAATTTCAAATTTTTATATGATTTTTAAGTTTAAAAATGTGAATTTACATTAAATTTTGTGATGAAAGAGTTTGTTTTCATCTCACGAAAATCAAAATATATCTTTTTACAAGTTACTTGATATGAATCGATGGTATGCATTACCACTTGTCATCACAAGTGTAACCCGAATCCCACGAGGTCCCCTCCGCTAATGGGTTGGTGGAAGTTTTTTTTTTTTTTTGTATGAAAATCAAAGTATAATATGTTGTACTTTGCAATTGAATTGATGATTTTTATTTCACTTATTATTGCAAGTGCAATATATGCTTCAAGGGTTCTCCACCGCCTATTCCACCGGTTTTGGTGGGAGTTGGACTTCTTATTATAAAGTCTAAAGGGTTTTTACAAGGAACTGATGGATTTTATCTTGTGTATACAATATTGCCTAAGCTTCTTAGGCCACCACCACTTATAATACGAGTTTGGATGGGAGTTGGATTTCTTATTATGAAGTCCAAATATGTTTAATTAGGGAATTTACGGATTTGGTTAACGCACACAAGTTTTGTCATGCTTGTTCTATTTGGGAGAATCTTCGGGTTTGGTTGTTTAGACGATCAAAATAAATTATTTTGCAATCATTCCTACAACACCTCAATAGAAACAAACATCAAGTTGCAAAATTGCAAAATTTAAAAGACTTCACTTCTTAAATTTCAAGTTAAAAGCACTTAGGGTGGAGAGAGTGATGTCACGTTTTTCACAGTCCACCTAGGTGCCACATAAGATTTATCATGTTGCTACAAAAATTTATCATTTAGGCGTGGGTTGTCACGTTTGTCATGCTTTTTTTTTTAATTAATTATATTAAAAATATCTAATTTAAACAATTTATTTTAAAACTAAATTTTCATTAAACTTGAAAGGAAATTACAACAAACCTAAAAAAACATAGAATTTAAAAATACAAAACATATAAATTGAAATTACAAAACCTAGATATTAAAAAACGAAATATAGATAGACATAAAGGACATCTTCATCGTAAAATTGGCTCTGTAAATCATCGATCGGTTCCGCGTTAAGATCGATGCGGTCAACGGTCCAAATATGTTACGTCAAGTCTCTACGAAAAAAATGATAGGTCTCAACATCATGAATTATTGCTCTCCTCGTCAAGTACTCGTCACTTCCAACCTCAAAAGCTTGTGTCGATGAAACGGTCTCGTTCTTATTATACTCACATATTGCATTTCTTTCGTATTCGAGAATCATATTATGCAATAGTATACAAGTATACATCACATCACTCATTTTCTTATCCTCAGAAAAAAAAATGTAGGGTATTTAAGTATATGTCAACGTTTTTAAGAGCATCAAACACTCGTTCAACATCTTTCCTTGCATTCTCTTGAGCTCTCTTAAACTTCAACATTTTGTGATCATCTGGACAAGACGGTGACTTCACAAAACAAGTAGTCTCGTTATACATGTCGTCGAATAACGGAGACATGTTAAGAACATTAATGTCGTTGAAGGAACTAGCGGAATCAAATAATGCATGCCATATCTACAAGCTTCAAGTATGATAGTTGGATAACAATGATCGTCTCGAGTGTAGCCGTACACATTCGAATGATGAACATATAATTGTTGGATGTCAGTAGTATGATTGCACAAATATCGTGGACCATACAATATCATGACATACTTACAAAAGTTGTGAAGCCTTTGTCGTGCAATACGTCCGGATATCCTAAGATTCTCATCTAGTGCATCGGGGAAGTGGCATATACTAATTGACGAAGTGTAGCGGTATATTTTTATAAATGAGTAAAACTAATTGTACCTGCACTTTGTTAAAAATATGGACACATTGTCATGACGTCATTGACGATACGCTGAAGTAGAGGTTTGCCAATACAGAACCGCCGACGAAATTATTATTCTTGAAAAGTCGCACTTTTTCAAAATAATATTGCATGAGGCGTTGGTGAGCCGCCTCACGATTTCTTTGTATGAAACTTCTTTTTTCCTGCAAGCATTATCAGCATTTTCTTTCTTGACATAGTTCTTCTATCTTCTGTCCAGCCTCTTGAATGACATTTATGGTCAATTCAAACAACGCATCAAAGAAAACCAACGATGAAGAAGATGATGATAATATTTTTAGAGAATGTAAAAGAAGGTTTTGATGGAGTATTTGAAGAAATGAAGATTGTATTAATAATTATTTTTAAAAAAATCAAAAATGATGTGTGGCAATTAAACTCGGTGGATACTCTCCAAATGCCGAAACCGAGTTAAGCTCAGAGAGGTGGCTCCGAATACCAAGGAAACAAGACAAAAATCGAAATGGAGTGTTGAAGAAGTCATTCAACATGCTCGACACAAACATGAGAAACCGTGTATGGAAAATCAACACGCGTTCATACCATTTGCATTTGATACGTTTGACTTCCTTGCGTCGGATGCGGTGGAGCTTCTTAGTAGACTACAACGGATCATGTATAGCAATGTTATATCCCCTAGATCTATGAATGTAGTCTTCAAAAGAATTGACTTTACCATACAAAAGGGCTTAGCGGCACAACTTATTGTCCGTTTGTCTTCTGATTCCTTGTATGATAATAACTAAAATGTCTATTACTATCATTTTCTGTTTGAATTATTTAAATATGTGTTTTTTAAAATATGTGTTTTATGTAAGATATAATGATTTCAAGAGGTAAAAGCTTTGTTGACGTGGACATTCGTTGGTGACCCACCTTCACTATTCTTCTACCTGACCATCTTCACAGCCTCGACCCTTCACCATATCCAAACTCCAAACCCATCACCATCATACCGCCATCACAGCCAGCCCTTCACCACCTCCCTAATCAGCCTTCATCCACCATTATCTCCATAATAACAACTTATACAATCACTAAACCCCCACCATCGTCCCCTGCTATTTACCTACCACCCAAAAAACAACACCAAGTACCACCCTTCTTCACAGCATCTAGTCATCACCGAGACACATCTCCAACTTCACAGAACCGATCATCGTCTCAACCCATCACCACCGCCATTTTCCATTCAGCAACAAAACAATCTCACACCTTCATCATCCCTCATCAGCTTTCACGAAATCTGTCATCATCATCTCACCACCGATAAATCTCCAGCCAACACCACCATCTGCCAAAAAAAAAAAAAAAAAAAAGAAACGCACCCTGTTATCGTGTTATTGTTGACCTGGAGTTTCGATTCAGAGCAGAGAAAGAAGAAAACCTGTGTGAGGGAGGGGTCTCCTGTGAATCTGCTGAGAAAAGACGCACTTGTTCTTCAAATCAGAACCTAGGTGAAGGAAGGTCGGCACCTCTGTCTCTGTCTCTGCTCTCGATTTTGTGTGTGTCGCTGCGTTTCAAAATGAGGGAAGGTCTTCGATCTCTATTTTGCTGGAGTACAGGGGATACACACGCAGAGAATATAGACTCATCCAAGAAGGTTGTGGGCCTGATTTGTCTGGGCTATCATTTTCTTTTTGGGCTGATTTTCTTGTGGGCTATATAGTATATATCAAGAAAACATGTAGCATAAGTCAAGGGGAGTATTTCTTTGAATTTGTGCTTGTGTTTTTATTTTAGTTCATTACAACTAGGAAAGAGTCCATGTTTCGCATAGGTTGGAAATAATTTAAAGTTTCTAAAAAAAATGGTTGGAAATAATTTAAAGTTTTCTAAAAAAAATGGCACAAAAGTGAATATTTCTAAAAATATGTAACGACGAAATCCAAGAGTGTATAATAAGGTTGATTACCCATTGACCAAGGAAGGGCCAAATGTGTAATAACGGAAAAAGTATGTGCAAAAAAAGTATTGAAATAGAACAATGTTGGAAAAAGTATCAAAATAGAACAATATTGGAAAAGGAAGGGACCAAATTGACAATTGAACATACTTTTGTGGGTGGAGATTGTATTTGTAAAAACTAAAGGGATTAAACTGTAAAGCACCCAAAAAGTGGTGGCAGAAATATAAAAGTCTAAACTTTTCTGTTGAAAGTTCCCATGAGCTTTAATATATATATATATATATATATATATATATATATATATATATATATATATAATTACTTATATCATTTGAACAACATATGTTTAACTATCGATTTTATTGTGCTTCTTTTTTGTTGAATTGACTTGATACCAGTAATTTTTTTATGGGTTTTGTTGACATGGGAAAATGATAAATTGATGCTTTTAAATTAATTGACATAATATGTGGTAATAATTTGATGTTCAAATGTGTGTTTATTTTTAAATTGTGATG